AAACCCATGAAGATGCGGGGGTATCTTTGGGGGCATGCGGGCACGAAGAATTGAAAAACTTTCAAGACCTCCTTGCACCAGACTACCAATTGAAAGTGGTGGCAACTTCCTACCTCTACATGATGGTATTTGTAGGCCCAAAAGCACCCCATATTATCCGCCTCTTGCTCTTGCTCTTGCTTGCCTGACCTAGACATTTAAACATCTTTTCTTTCAACTGGCTGCCTGGCATTTTTAACTCTTAGGTTATTTCGGGCAGCCAGCACCCCTATCATTGTCTGTACTATTATTATAAATTTTTCTTTCTTGTATATTTTGGGGTGAAAAATTCTTTATCTTTCCATACAGTAACGACAATGTTATCTTTGCGAAGGAATGACAACTCTCCTCAACGACGTCGCTTGACTCTGAGTCGAAGGGGTGATTGCACGTGGGATGCCTTGTCGATTTTTATGGATGGTTCCGCAGATATAAATTTGATCTCGAAGCAAATCTTCCACGAGAGCAAGAGAATTGAAAAAATTATCGACAAAAACATGGTGATTTTTGCCTACCAAGGGTCAAGTAAGATTGCGGACAACGCCGTGTCCAAGTCCTTGTTCAAGATTACCATTGCGTTGTTTTCCCGTGTAGACCTCCAAATCGCAAACGAAGCCATTCAACGAATCTGCACACTCCCACACTTTGATTCCCCTCTTCACCGGTTTTAAGGGCATGTGCTGTTTAAGGGAAAGTCTTCCTTTAAAAGGAATCATTGCCTCGTCGATCGAAACATTTTTCGACGGCCTGTACTCGCTTTTAATAGCCTCTACAACAGAATCGAGAAGAGGTCACACTTTGAACAATTTGTCATGGTTTGCGTGCCCACGTGGCAATTCTCTTCTCTTATTGTTTAGATATTGTGATATTTTGGCAAAACGATTCCTCAGAAAAATCTTTTGCACTTTTGGGACTCCGAGAAGCTGATTTTTGGACCAGTATGAGTACACTTCGGGCAATTGTTTAATCCCAAACAGGATATTCAGTGCGAAGAATGCCTTCACTTCTTCGGCGTCGGTTTCGCGCCAAGCAGGGTCCGGTTTTGTGTCCATCACTTGCCGCACATAACGATTTGTTTCCTCTGCAATTTTGTCAAAATTGCTGTCCTTAAACATTAGATAAAAAGGTTTATGGTTGAATAACCTCGAACGTCCCTGACCAGGCCAGTATTTGTGACGAACGGATTCACAACAACTGGACCAGGATTGTCGTTCCACTCTTGTTCATCTTCTTCGCCACTTTCCTGATCGCTAAGATCGAGATCTGACAAATCCTCCATGTCAACTGACGAAACAGAAATGTCAGATTCTAACTCAGGATTATTTCTTTCAAACCCCGGTTCAATAGTGAAGCCAATGAACTCTTCTTCCTCCCTATCTGAATCGAAAAGCGCCACCATTTTCAAACTTCACAAACAAATTTCAACTCGCAATTTCTCAATAAATTCATATGAACACCACCCCTGAAAGTTGGCTTGAACTGACCTTCTACTCTAACCCTATTGGTTAAAACACAATAGGCTAGAGGAAACAATGAAAATAAGCATTTTTATCGGTAAGAATTTACTATGTAAAGTGCCATATGGCTCGGTCGGACGGGAAAGGGATATATATATTTATATACAAATACATGATTTTCTTCTTTTTTCCCATAGGAGCCAAAAACAAAAATTTGGGGATGCCCAAATGAATAAGGAGAGGCCCTCAAATAAGGCTCCCCTTGAATAAAAATACTCTAATTCCAGGAGAAAAGTTCACAGTGTAGAGGACAATGTTTTCAAGTCCACAGACAACTTGGTTGATATTTATGCAAAATTTTGATACATGCAAATTTACCTGTCAAATAGATTTCAAATTACTTAAAAAATGCCAACTAAGATGAGTGGTAATGAGCTTCAATTCTGTCGGAGACTGCGTGATTACTTGCGTGACGTTAATTTTGTCAACAACATTACCGTGGAGTTTCTAATTTGTCTGTTGATTGAGTCCAGTATGTTAGAAGACCGGTTATCCCTAGTAAACGGGGCAAAGTTTACGAAACGTGGCATCTCCGACAGGATGGAGAAGGACAAGGACAAGGACAACTGTTGTGAGTATAATTTAAGTCCTGATTTTCCGCCCGTGTGAAGATTGCAGAGATGGAAGCGACTGAAGCGAATCTAGATATCAAAGTAACACAGCTTAAAATGAGCATTGGTAAAACGAACACCATCATAGAAACAGGGAAGTCAGAAGCGATCGAAAGACATTTGTCCACCCTGTGGTCCCTCAGTAAAGAACTAAATCAAATGCGGATAGAAGTAGAAGCGGCCTTCTGTCCTAGCAAATCCGTCTGTCAACAATGCCACAAGCATCACCACACGTCCAGTTGTGATGCACCCAGACAAGAAACTAATCAGCCAACTCCTACGACAGGGGTCGCCTTACCTACAAACCAAGTCGGAGAAGGGTTGTTCCCGGTT